GTCTGACAGGACCTGCCACTGATGAACCCGTGTTGGTTGCCCCTAAGCATGCAGTCCCCTGCTGGCCCCTCATGGATGTGTGCCAGAATAATTTTCTCAAACAGCTTGCCTGGGATCGAGGTAAGACTAACTGGCCTATAGTTTCCCAGATCCTCCTTCTTCCCCTTTCCTGACTCTCTCTCTGCCCAACCCAATATATTGCCAAAATCCTGGGTATGTCTATTAGTCCCCTCTCAGCTAATGGTATCCGAGGAGAAAGCCTAATATGCAGTTTTGCCCACTCGTCCAACAACAAGGAAGTCAGCCCTACAGAAAGTTCCAAGGCCTTCTACTTGTTGGAGGAATGGGGAGAAACACAGTAAGCTACTCCAAGGCTAAATTTCAAACTTGCTTGGTTTTGACACTTATATGACAGTAAGCCAGTGAGATTTCAGCTTAATAAATATCAGGGACAAACTGGAAAGCTGCCTACTGGCTGGTGACCTCAGTAATATCTACAGGTCAGGGAGTGGCTGTGGAAAAGAAAGGCTTACTATTAGGAAGCCTCAGAGATAGTGCAGAGACTAATGCAAGGGGACACTGCCCTCCCTCCATGCTTATTGCAAGGAGTAAGGCAGTTCCTTTACTCACACAAGTGCTAATCACTTTGCTGGGGAGGGATGGACCAGCAGAAGGCAGTGTGGTAGATTTTCTGCTGCTCTGTTTCTCCTGGGCATGAGGGCAGTATTTTGGCAGCAGGACACATTTTTTCTGGCTTTTTCTAGGATGGTTGGGAGGGACGGGTCGTGGCAGTAGGGTGTCTGGGGCTCTGTGTGGAGAAGGGCATTGACAGAGCTGGGGAGGGCCTTTTGGAAGTCACCAAGAACCCAACTCAGCCTTAGGCTAAGCTATCAGGGGTAGATAATGATGAGGGCTGGTAACTCAGCATTGCAGAAACCCCCCAATCAGAAGAATAAGCATGCCATCTGGCCCAATCACACTTCCCTTGGGAAACCATTTCACCAGTGAAACAATTTTAATTTCAATGTGAATAAATTTCTATCCAACCTCAATGTTCTTCTGCTCTATTTCCTCTCAGTACTCTAACCTTTACTTATTCAAATAAAACTAGACAGTTTTTCTTCCTTCTTGGTTTCTCCCCTCTCCTCCCCTCCCAAATAGCCAGCTAATCTCTTTCTTCATCATTGCTTAGCAAAGTTGTACAGCACAATGCCAATTGCTCAAATAACTTGCTTTGTTTTCTTTAATAGCTAATACTTCAAAAGGCTTTACTGAGTTCCATCATACCATTATAAAATGAGAGAGAAAATCCATGTGCCTCACCTCCCTCCCTGCCCATCGGGCTGGTAGGAAAATGGGAGGAAGATGAAGGAAAGGAGCACTGGCAGAGAAGGTGATAAAAATACACACACTTTTTGCAGTGTGATAAAGTTTAATGTGCTAGTTTATTACAGTGGATGGGGAAGAAAGATATACACTGCTACTTACCTTGTTCAGCTCCTCACTCATCTGATTGGCTTCTGCAACCAAAGGCATTAGCTTGATATAATCATGGAATACTGCAAGAACGCTGGGGTCTGGTTTGCCATCCTTATTACTAACAGCACCTTTGAGAAAGGTAACATGAAAAGTAAAAGAAGAAGAAACTGCAACTCATTTACTTAAGGATGGTAAAATTCTAACTAGAGCTACTCAACAAGAACTGGCACAGCTTGGCAATACCACCTTGGTAACATATATTTCTACATCATGTTTATGCTATATGTTGTAAGCAGTGTGAAGAGGCAGCCACTGTTCAGGGAGTAGCACTGTACCCTAACTGTATGTCTACAATCCAGTGCGAACCCTGTGGCCAGGGAATTTTTCATGGATTGCATACAAAAAAAGAGAGAAAAAGCATCTGAAATATCTGCTGTGCTCACAGCAGCTCATTTCAGATTCCCAGAAGAACATTTATCTGCTTTAACTCCAATTTTCAGATCAAGAAGTATGAGGTAACTGGGGCTGAAAGAAGATGACTTCTGTCCTGCCTTATGTACACACTATAGATACAGCACTGGACATTGCCATGGTATTCAGCAGCCATTTGGTTCCCGTGCTTTTGCTAGACTGAGCTAAGTGAAGGAGTCTGGACCTACATCTGGCTTTTAAATACAAGATGTCTGGTGCATCTGGATCTGAAGTAATGGTTTAGCTTTAGCCCATCATGAAAATAAGTACAGTTTAACTATACACTAAATTGCACATTTCATTTCAGACTCCCTCATAATTTATAGGTGTTAATGTTTCAATAGTTTTAGGTTGGGAGCATTTCTTTAAAAAAGAGGTTGGTAAGACAGTAACTGATATCCTGTATTTATATAGTGCCCAATGTTCACATATCTGAGTTGTAGCAGTCTGTTGATCCCACACAGGCCTCACCAGCCATCTTTGGACACGCACATAAGACAATCATGGAAGACAATCATCCTCAACTGAGAGGGAGTGCTGAAGAAGAAAAAGATAGTGCCCAAATAAACTTGTGTAAACTATACAAAATTACTCCACTTTTCTTTGGATGGAGCCACCAGAACATACAACTGTTGTATGTTCAGTAACATACAGCAATCCAGCAGTTAAAGAACTGAAACTGGAGGAGGCGATTTATGTCTGAAGTCCTGCACTTAGAACAATTCTGAAAAAGTTTCTTGGACACCTGAATTACTCTGCACCAATACCCCAAAACAAACTTGTTGACTATGGGACTGAACCAGTTAAAGTAGTTGGTGAAATAAAATCTAGATTATGAAAAATCTCATGGCAAAAACTTTTGTGATTTCATCCTCCGCACATACAATGAAACAAAGGTAATTAGCCAAGAAAGCTGGAGGGAAAAGAGGAGAGCAAATTTATGATGAGTACTGGGGTGTGCTATGAAGAAGAAGAAACAGCTCGATTTCAGAAAAAAATTAAAAACATGGGAAATTTTGTACCAGTGCTACCTGACTCAAAATTAGAGACAATTTACCAAAACTAGCACAGATGAATGCTGGAGAAGTTGTGAAGCAAAGGAAGAAATATTAGATCACATATGGCAATTCTGCTCACATGCAGCCTTCTTGCAGGCAAGCAAAATAGGAATAAAACATTATAGATTGCTCACTTGTCAGTCTTGACCACTCAGCAAGCAATTATGTGTAGCCTTCTATCTGGACTGTTTATATATTATTAAAAGTAATCTGATCTCATTTCTTAGTAACAGCTGGTGAACATTGTTCACTGGGAGGCTGTTATTTTTAAACACATACCTCACACATTTTAGAAGGAACAAGTACAGTCCTAGTGAGAAAGAAATTGGCCAGTATTTGAAATAGCATGTGAAATAACTACCTGGAAGTGTGGGTGCTAATCAATCAACTTATTCAAAGAGACGGTGCAAAAACTCAGCACATTTTTTGTTCATTAATAACAGTACAGAATGTACTAACTTCTATGCATGCTTTAGGCTTTATAAAGCGGTTCTTGGATTTTTGTTTATAAATACAGAATGTATAATGTAGAACTGTATAATGTATACTGTAATATATCATATATAATTTTCCAGTTAATTAGCTAGATAGGTAAAACGCAATTTTTTAGGTCACAGGCTGCACTGCCTGCAAAGCACTGTCCAACTTCAGGTCCATATTAAGTACTGAATTCTAGATCAAAAAAAGGTAAATTAAAAAGTAGTCTGCAGACGACCTGGCGTAAAATGGAACACTGCTCTTTTCACAGGAGTCTCGTAGCTCAGTACACATGCAGTAACACTTACCAAGCTTATCTACGCTAAAGCCATCCGCAGCTGCCAGCTCTGACTGAAAGAAATCATAATCATATCTCAGCAAGCCTTCATTGGTGCGTTCTGCAGGAGGTCCAATGTAGAGGTAAGCACTGTTTGACCCCAAAATAATACGGTCCTGAAGAATGAAGTACATAGTGCTCATTAAACTCAGTTTTCATATTTCTTACTTCAAGTACTGTGTTTTTGCAAAGGGCTTGCAAACTGAAAGGGAGAGCTCTGCTGTCCCATCAGTGAAGGAAAAGGACTGAAGAGATTTGCTGTTTGAAAAATGGGGGAGTAGAGTATCTCAGTATTCTGAAGGGGAGAGAGAAAGAGAGATCCTAGGAAACTTCAGAATGGCAACAAACTAGCATCTTATCTGGAGTTACATGGTAATAGAAAGCAGGAAAAACTTGCCACTAACTCAGCCTTACATCACTTCTAGAATAAGAAACATTTTTTGCTATGCATACATATCATTTTGAACTGACCAGCATGCAAATGCAACAAGATAACAGCAGCTACCCTGTATTTCTGTAAGACATGCGTCTAAAACCATTAGAGAACACCGGTGTAATATATGGCTTATACCAAAAATAGCTTTTAAGGTTAAGGAACTAAAATTTGGCTTACTAATGAGGAGGAACTCTGTTTTTAAACGAGAGTTCCTTTTAAAACAGGTATCCATTTAAAATATATTTTTCCTAGAATATCAAAAGTCCAGATCTTATAGCCCTTATTCCCAGAGGTAATCCTTACTCAACATGGTATCGCCAATGCTACGTTCTAGTTCAGGGGTTCTCAGTCCCTGGGCTGCGGTCTGGTGCCAGACCACGGCAGGTTGGCTGCTGGTCTGCAGCACAGTCAGCTGTCAGACCAGAAATGGCCACGGGCCGGCAAACCGCAGCCCCCCAGAGCCAGGTGGAGAGGCCACGGTTCCTTTTGCAGGGCCAACAGCAGGACAGGGTTTGGCCCACCCCACCTCCCAGGGGCTGGAAGCATCCTTACCTGTCTTTTGGCCAGAAATTCCGGCGGCGGTCGACTGTGATTGCTGGGCCACAGTTTGTTGGGCCGTGGCATAAAAGCTTTGGGAACCCCCGTTCTAGTCCATATGAGTTAGGATTGCAGGCATGAGTCCTTACTTTCCTTGAAACACCTTCTTTTTAAATGGATATCTGCCTCTTCAAGGAAACAGTGTTGGTCATGTTTACTAGATTAATCTTTCTCATCACTGTAGTTTATATAAAAATTTCTCCCCACCTCATTTTTCCTAGAATAATAGGAAATTTTTCCTATTATTCTAGGAAAAAGTTCTCTCCCACCTATGGAACCATTTTCAGGAGAGGCGAAAGCAAAATCATTCTGAGCTGAAATCTACATCCTCAGTTTTTGTTTCATTCTCCCAGAACACTCACCAAGTGCTGCAGTTTAGTTTTCACAGTGACAGGCACCCCGTTAACAATGACCATGCTCTTATCCCAGGGTGTTATGGTGACTTTGCCATCAGTGTTTGTAAATGTAGCTTGCTTGTCCATAATGCTGAGAGAGAAAACATGTTTTGCAATTAACAGGCCTCTTGCAAACTGTGAAAAAATATTTTTAGCAATCTCAAAGTCCAGAAAAATATTAAATACAATTCTGAATATAATGATATTACTTATTTATCTTTCTGTCACACCTCTCATAGGCTAGATCAACCACTGCAACCTGAGAGAAGATGGCCTTTTGCCCTATGACTTCTATCATGGTGGAGGGCAGGGGTTTCTTGGTGCAGAGCAAAAGATCCTGTAGGCAGGGCATTCTCTGCTGAGGGCTCCTTAATGTTGGGATTTATTTCCCTCAGCCTAGTCCAAAATAGGCCACACTTGCTTCTCTTCAAGGCATCGTGCAAAACTCATCTCTTTGGAGGAGTTGTGTGGTGACAAGACTTATGAGGGGTTTCTTTAGAATGAGGGCTGTGGAGATACTGATTTAGGTTCTCATGTGATCTATTGCTGTAGGCAAAGAGGGCTGTGTGGGTCTTCTATCCTGTGTGTTGCGTATGGTTAATGGTAAGAGCACCTGGAGCCTGGGATAAACATCTTCATGCCTATTAAAACCTAAACAAACAGAAAGATAATCTTTTACCCTGTAAGTGTCACCAGCTAAGGCCTTGTCTAACATTTCCCACAGTTTCTAAGATCAGTTCAAGTCTCATTCCACAGGTCTTATGTGTATGTCATCTTTTGTCTATGGTTTTGTGAGTTGCATTGTCCCAAAAACCTAACATGTGATTGTCATGGATGGAGGTGCAATCACTGAGGGAGCTGGCTAATCTGCTGATGGGCCTGAACACTTCTAGCTTCTCACACTAAAATAAGCCCCAAGAGATAGACAGGTCATTGCCTTTAAAATGATTAAAACATGCTTACTTTTAAGACAATTTAACAAATGAATTTGGAATTCAGTGCTGCAACTTAACATTCCTCTTGTTGTTTTGTTGTCATCAGCACTAGGTGAGTTTCTTTCTAACCCAGTTGCCCCCACAACATTTCCCCTCCAAGTTGTCATAAGTATTGTTCTCCTTAGGCCAACTAAATTCTCATAGCCCATGTATATGCAATGTAACATACATTCCTGTGGTTTAAATGACACAGGAACTCAGCAGTCCTGTCCTTTACTTATGCGTACTTACCCCAGACCTTTAAGGACTATTGCATTTGAGGCTGACTGACCAACATCACTTGCACCTGAAAGTAGTAAAAATTTCTACCATCAACGTCATATGGTGAGAAACAACAGTTACATTCAGCACTCAAACCATTGGAATAACCATTCCACCTCTTCTACATCAATTTGTAGAGTTTTGCTTGACAGAGACCTTTTATGTTAGCATTATGTTTGGAATATGAAAATACAGGTACTTATCCCTCTTCTCTTCATCAAGTTGTTGGACCTGATTAATGTAAAGGGCAATTCTGCATCCATAAATAATAATCAGGGCATTTTATAGTATTTGGAAATCATATCTGATCTATTCTTGTCACACAGGATGACAAGCAGGAATTTTATGGGCTTCATGCCTTATCCACAACAATGTTTCATGAACTGCTCAATTTTTATTGAGCCAGTCTTATAAAACTGCAGCTCTGCTCAGCCACAAAAAAGAAAACATTGCCAGAAAAAAAACAGCAGGAAGAAGAAATAGCAGCAACTGGAATGAAATGACTGGATTGTTAAGTGACCAGCAGAAGGGAGACAAACGCTGGAAGTTTGGACCAAATACCAATAAAATAATTTGTAAAGCAAAGGGAGATTATTTCCAACTATTAGTTTTATGGGCTTTGATTTCCAACATATCTTACCTGCTTATTTTAACAGGTTAAGTTTCTATTGTATTTCACAATCTGATGTGCACTAAGTTGGTTAAATAAAAAAGGGTTATTTCTGAGCGTGGGAAAAATCAAGTGTGATTGAGCAACCCAATACTTAAGAGCCTGTATAAAACACAACAGCACTTTTGTTATGTTGACTATTAAGGTATAGAAAGTTGTGTTCATCTGGGTGTTGTAAGTTTGTGCCATGCTTAACACCAGAAAACAAAACAAGTTAAACAGAATACCATCCTGAATGAAGTGCTTGAGTACCCCAGAAAGCTGTGGGTCTTCATTGATATTCAAGAGATAAGGGAACGTCTCCATCATCCTTCTCTCCTGATGAAGAATTCAGATACACATTATTTAGTGCAACAGGCTGAGTCATCCCAAATGACAGCAACTAGCAAGTATGAACAATTGTTTTATTTTTTCAAGGGAGATCATGCACATAGACTGTTTTTCAGGACAACCTGAAATGAATCTAAATACTAAACTCTCACAACAATAGGCACTGTTTTGGCACACGAAAACATTCCCTGATCCTGAAACACAATCAGGCTGGTTTATTGAAATGCCCTGATTTGTAAAGGTGAATCTATAAGAATGGATAAAAATAAAGAAAAGTAGTTTGCTTGATTAATTCTTCTATTACAGTTCACACTGTTATATTGTTAATGTTGCTTTGCCTTTTTATGAGTTTAAAAAGAAGCACACAATCCTTCATAAACATTGTGCAGTCCAAATCACTGGAAATTTTTTAAAAGCTGGTTAGACAAACACTTGAATGAGATAATACAGACATGGATAACCCTGTGTTGACCAGAAGTTGGAATGAAGTACCTCTGTTCTTGTTTTCTATGATTACTTTAATGAATTATGTTAGCTTGTGCTCTCTTATTGGTGTGGTATTTCACGTAATGCAAGACTGAAACAGAATGAAGGAATTCTTTTGAAATTCCCCTCTGGCCTACTGTCTGCTAAGTGATCTGGACACAATATTTATCATCTGTATGATAGTACAAAGGCCAAGTACATTTGTCCAGTAATAAAAGTGTCCAAAGACCCTAGCCAGGATCAGAATCCTATAGATTATTTATACTTTGGAAGAGATGAAAAGATAAGATGCAAGAATTTATATACTTCTGGATACTTTGTATCTGGCCAGATCATGGATCTTCTTAGCCTCTCACCTGAGTTCAAAGGTAAGACTGTTTTTAAATATGTCAATTAAGATTTATTCCATTTGGGGAAAAAGTTTTAAAATGTTTATGTTAAAAGTTTTTGCTCCTAGTCACACTGTAAGAGCTAAAATTCTGTTATTTAGAAGGCTAATAATATCAACAAATATTTGTTTGCTGATATTAGCTATTTCATGTTTTAATTTCAAGAGGAAAACTTCTGGCTTTGTCCCTTAAGTTTTGGAGGCACCCTGTAAGTTCTATACTTTGCCTGGTTTCCTTTATTTGTAAAGGTTTTGTTTTCAAAAGTTATTATACCTTGTTACAATCACCTGAAAATAATATCAAGAAAACCGTTTATGTCTGTCAGCAGTAAACACAGACAAAAGATTTCATATTAGATATCAAGCACTGAATCATGAAATGTAGTCAACTTAAATCAAGCGAAATGTCAAATTCAAAACACAATAGCAGCCCTGAAGTACTAGTTAGTAGAAGTATTTAGAAAAATATACTGTGAACATACTGCGTTTTAAAACAATACCTGTGAACAGACTGTGTCAAAGGAAGTCAAGTGAAATGGACTGCAGTAAGCTAGTAGCTCTTTCAAAGCCTACCTGAGTAATTGCAGCATACTGCTGTTCCCATTCTTTCCGAGCTTCTTCTAACCGAGATTCCCAGGTTACCTGAATAGTTTGAATGTGCTGTTCATTTTCAACCAGCAAATATTGCAGCTCTTCTGGAGGGAGAGAGAGAAAAAAACTTCAATCAGCTACAGACATACAAAACACTGATAAACTTAATTTACTCATTTTTAAACTTGCCATAGTACCCACACAACCAAATAATGATTACAAAGTGATCAACTCGTAAGTTACTATGTCCATATTTACAACAATAAGCGGCACCGCCAGGGCCAGGGGGCTGAGAGGGAGGGAATGAGGGGCATCAGCAGGGCCAGGGGGTGGGGGGGGAGTGAGGGGTACCAGCAGGGCTGGGGTTTTTGTGGCTTGTGAGTGAGGGGCCTGGACCTATGCTCTGTGAGCTAAGGGGGCAGGGGAAGCTCTGATTTTCCATGATAAAAAACCCAAAGTCAAATAACACAATTTATAGGTATTTAGAATGTATTTTATTACAGTGATTGAGGCACTGGTAGGCTTCCAAATTGCTTTAAAATTGTAAATATATCATGAAAACACAGTGGCCTTTCATTTTAATCATGGAATTGGGGGTTTTAATCAGAGAATTTGTGATTTTTGTTTTAGCAGAGAATTTGTGATTTTTAAATCAGAGAGAACCAGGAGTCATATTTAATAGAGTCCAACCCCCTGTCCTGGACAGGAAAGAGTGCTGGGGTCAGATGACCCGAGCCAGGTGTTTGTCCAAAATCTCTGCTGATTAGTTATTATTACCTGCAAATCTATAAAACCATGTGCAGATAAGATAGCAGCATCAAGTTCTCTTGAAGAAGTTCTCCATTTTTTTCTCTGTTAACCGTTTCATAAGAAAGACTCTCTTATTAGACCTACCCCCACTGCAAAAGCCTCCTTTATCCCCCATGAATTTCTGACCCATTAGAAAGGGCTTATGTTCTGAGACTCTCCACTTCATTTGATATGCATTGTTTCTTTAGCTACTTTTGCTCTGTCATACATACTTGTTTCAGCTGCTACTACTTTTCCTGAGTTTGTAAGCCCAGCCAGTCTAGACAACAGCTTGTTATTTTCTGCTTTCAGTTCTCTTATAAGCTTCTCAGTTGGACTTGCATTTACCACTGCCTTGTTCTTAATCTTTTTTGTTCTGTCAAGTATACAAATAAAAAAAGGTCAGTACATGATTACACTGTGTTACAATTTATCTTAGCCCAAAGCCCAGGGGAGCAAAAAAAAATAGGTGTCTGGTACAAAAAATGCTTGTTCCTATTAAGAAATATTCAACAGAGCTTTGGAAATTTACAAATAAAAAAAATATAACAGCACTTTGGTCCTCTGCTGCTGACACACCATTGCTTCTCCTGCTTTGAAAGCAGCAGTCCCAGCTCAGCCCTGCCTCCTTTGCCCTGCAAGTCCAAGCATGAATCCCTCCTACCCCAGCAGACTCTCAGCCTCTGGCAGAGGTATAACCAGCTCAGAAAGTCAAAGAACAGGAGTAAGAACGCATTGATCCTAAAATCAAAAGGCTGTACTTGCAGGAAATATGCTGTCATCCCCTGGAGAAAGTGCACCTACAACCCTGAAGCTGACTCCTTTTAGCCCAAGGATGAGCAGGACGTATCTGCCACAGTACAGAGTGAATATATTGAGACACCATGGCATGCAACATATTAAACGGTAATGAAAGACGTGAATGAAGTGGTCTTGCAAGCTCTTGAAAGAGCCATCTGGGGTTAGAGAGGATGGAAAAGCTGAAACTCTCCAGGGCTTTATTTTGAAATGAGCTTTAGCCATGGACAGGCATCATAGTCAACTGCTTTAAAAGGGCAAGTCACTGCCCTGCTCTAAAGGTCACAACAGCTTTACAATGTAACTGTTATAACGAAGCCAAGCTATTGAAATTGTAACCTCTCTCTATCCTGTAACTAATGCCGGCCCAAACCCTTTGTCTGTTATTATTGGTGCTATCTTATTTTGCCTGGGTGTTTGGCTTCATCTTGCAGAAATGCAGACAACTGCCTTACTGGACATGAGAGGTCATTCACCAGGTTAGTCTGAAGTCAGGCAGAAGGCAGGGTAGGGCAGCACCTTACAGGCTAACTGGTTGAGAGAGATATAAACTTCCATAGGTGACAGCCTACTTTGTCGGACACATGCTGTCACCTAGGAAATCTCATACCTCTCTGAACCAGTTAGTCACTAAGGTTCTACCTTGCAGTGCCTTCTTACTGGGCATGGAAAACTACAAAGCTGTACCTCTCAGCATAACGTAATGTTGATAAAGTCTCTTCGTAACACATGTCTGCTGGACTTATGGCCGCAATCTGTAAACATATAAAAAGGAGTTAATATAGTTTAGATTTTGTATTTGAATTGTTTTATTAATTTTGCAACCATAAAGGATATTACAGATCAAAGAACATTTAATCCAGGAAATAATCCACTGCTGTGCCCCTCCAATACAAAGAGTCCTTAGGACATGCCTGCACCACTGTGGCCCTTGCTAGGGAGTGTGGCAGTGAAGCATGGCACATAGCTGCCTCTCCTAAGGTGCTGGGGATGTGTCAATGTGCTCAGCCATGGCAGAAGGCTTACAGCCTGCACTCAGTGCTCCTCTATGGACAGCTACATTCTGTTTTTATGGCAAACAATGCAAAGATTGTGTGGTCCAGGGCTGGAGCTGACATGTCCTGAGAATCTAGGACAGCAATCACACTTTTCAATTAAATAGGAAAAAGGTTTTTGTTTGTCATTTTTTACTAAAGCTGAGAAGAGATGTAGTACAGAGTACCATGCGTTTTGTTTAAAATGAAAAATATGAGGCCAGTTCCTAGAAACTCTTAGTTATACTGCTAGTCCTTATACAAGCAAATACTCCCCATGCTGTGATGGCAGGACTTGTATGCACAGGGTTGTAGCATCAAGCCTTAGGCCTGTTCCAATGAGGATTGAAAAATCGAAGTTGGAAGGAAATCAATTCAGTGGTAGTAAAATGTATCAACATTTCAAGTCCACAATTTCATGCAGACACAGACCTTTCACCTCCTTCCATTTAATAGCACTCCTCCCCTTTTTTTAATTCTTCAGAAATTATACAAGGTAGAAACAGATGACAAATTTCAAAAAACAGACTTAAAATTAGTGAGAGTTCTGCCTGCACAACCTAGCTGAGAGCACAGACGACAATTAATTCAGAAGAAAATGACAGACATAATTTTTCAGATACCTCTTTTCCAAAGGCTAGATACTCAACATGCAGCATACACACTTTTATGCACAACCTTCCCCAACTTGTATACCTGCAAATTCCAATGTGCTAGCAAACCCTGGTGCATACAAAACCAGTAGGCAAGTGTAGGAGCATTATTAAATTCCATTCTAAGAGCCTGACTTTCAAAAGTCTCAACAATATGAAGGCAAGGGCTGTCTCCAATCAAAAAGGGCTTGATGTATTTGAAGAATGAATAATAAGCTTGAGTATTTGATTTGACAATTTTATAAAAGTGAAATAAGATACTCCACAAAGAGCTGTTGAACTGTACATTTCCTCCACTACCCCAAGAGGAAAATCACTACTGCTGTAGATATTGTGCCAACCACATTTATCTTCTAAAAAAGAATACCGTGTTTCATGCCTTTGAAGACTCTATTTAGCTGAACATTAGCCGGAACAAGGGGACACAAGAAAAATGCTTTCAATTCTTACGAATCTCTGGGCCTTCAAATATGAACAGGCTAAAACTACTTTTTTAATTTGAAAATACTGATGCTATATGGAAAGTGATTTATGCTTTTAAATACAGTACCACTTTTTGCTAGTGTTCAGTGTCTTGCACTTCTGCTTTAATAATTACATTTTCCCAGTTAGCGAACAGGCCACTAAGTTTACCATGATAGTCTTGCTGTTTCCTCCCAAAGCAGACTGCAGGAGTTTTGTTAGAACGGAGTCTCTGTACGGGATATGTAACACCTTCTTTCCCACAGCCATCTCAGCCAGAGCACTAAGGGGAAGAACAATAAAGAAGTGTAAGCTTGATTCTGTCAAGTGTAAAAATAGTTTAAACAAATATGACTTTCAAAAACTGTACTTGGGCAGACGTTCCAGTATACTAACTCTGGGTCTCACAATTATCTGCGGAATAAAATTGATATCTAAGATTTTCAGAAGGGATCAGTGATTTTGTATGGCTTAGTTTGAGACCCTTTAAAATGATCTGATTTTTCAGAAA